TCTTTCTGGTTGCGACGGCGGAGGCGGCGGTGGTGGTGGGGAGATTGTGATATAGGGAAGAGGAAATGGCGGCGGATTCGTCATGGTTGATCTTCAATGTTTGAGATTTTTCCGCCATGATTCTCCGGCGATTGTCGACGAACGGAAATTTGATGCAACAGATTACAGATACGTACAACCAATGAACTAAAAGTAGAGCCTTAAAAAATAAAAGAAAAAATTACAAATTGTTTTTTCTTTTTTTTATTTCTTTTTACAGAATGAATTATTTGAGAAGTGGGCCCACGTCGTGGCTCTTTGCTTGCAGATATGTTGACGATTGGCTTGGGACCTTAACCCATCTTTGTCAAGGTTTTCAACTCAGACGATGAAAATGTTTGAAATCCCCATTTTATGAGAATATTGATGAAATTATTGATAAATTATCGATCTCAACTAATATTTTTGTAAAAAGTAGAAAAATTAAAAGGTTGTAAAAAATATTTAAATTAATATACAAAATTTTTTCTATTTCTAAGTTAAAAATATTAATATTAGTGTTAATATTATATTATATATTAATGACTTTTTATGATATTTTTCATATTTTGTCGATTTTTTTATTATGATAAAAATGTCAATTTATCTTTTATGTTGATATCAAATACATAGATACATAGACATATTGATGAAAATGTTGATATGTCAACCTATATTTAATTTCATGATCCTTGTCGACCATTTATTTCAATAAAAAAAAATATTGTTTAATTAAAATTTGTCGTCTGTATTTATTCACTCCATGCCAATTAATATCAATATTTTAATATTGAGATGAATGTTCTCATTATAATTTATAAATTAATTAAAAGAATAGGGTGTTACTGTCAAAAGAAAAAGAAATTCTATTGCACATAACAATTGTTCAAGGCACTGGTAATCTCTTAAAGAATATATATTTGAATATCCACCAATATTAAAAAGACTATATAGTTTTATATACAATTTAATGTACATATGGGATATGTACAATCCACGTGGTAACCAAACTAAAAAAATTGGTTATTGAGAATTAAGGTTAGCGGCCAACCTGGGCCTAGTTCAATCATCTATAGTAATCTTCTCTATAGATTGAAGGTATTGATCACTGCCTAAAATTATAGTGTAATATTTTTTAACAAAAGAGAAAAATGAGAAAAGAAAAGAAAGCGTGAGAATAGCGTAGACAAAAGAAAATTAACTATGCCAAACACAAGACGATGAAATAAGATTCTAAATAAATAAAGTCAAACATGAGAATATCATGTCTTTTTTTTTTTTTTTGTAAATGTTAAAGTATATTGCAATAGAAAAAATGATGTTGTCCTGCATGAGAAGCAAGAGACCTACAAAAAATGGGGTAGGAATATGAACAATAAAGACAACAACATAATTAAAGAAAACGAATAAAATATGAAAAATACATTAGGAGCTAGAAAAATATGAAAACAAATCTCAAACAGACCTTATCAAAGGTCGGGTATGAGCGTAAACATCACTTTGAATAAAATGTAAAGACGACTGAAGGTGGATACGAGAGACACCACCATATGAATTTTTTAATTACATCCTTTCCAAATATGAGATATAGAAGTAGTTTAAGTAATCTTGTATATTCTACATCTAAGTGAACGGTCTCTACTAATACGAAATATCCATGCTAGCTTTGTTGATGCATAAATTTGGATACGTTTTATGATGGCGAAAGCTCCAATGAACACCTACACACAAGTGAAATCTGCACATCGATGTGGTGCTAAGCCCAATATATTTTGATGCCTACGTTAGCAAAGTGTTTCGTTGAGAGTAAAAGTAGAGTTGTGAGAGTGTATCTCATGCCCCAAGTCTCTCTTTTTATTTACAGAGGGAGTCTTCTTGAGTTGGTTTGAGTGGACCAAATTGACTAAATTTGGATCGGCTCGAGTCTGATTTGATTGGGTGGTCTGATCTGGTTGGTTTAACCCAAACGGCTCGACCCATAGCAAGCTTTGTATCCTACAAGCAAATAAAATATATACGGGAAATCCTTGGATGCAATCATTTTAAACTCTACTAAAAACTAAAGACCAAATTTGGTCATCGTTACTAATAAGTATTTAACAATTTATTATTTCTTTTTTTAAAAAAATGTTTATGTTTTTTTATTTTTCGTTCTAGTTGTCAAACATGTTGAGGAGCGAGGACAAAATTGGTCCTCACTCGTAAAGAGTCTTGAGTATTTTTCAACAGCAATTTAGCCATCTTTAGAGTTACTTTCCGGCTTTTAAGAAATATAAAGAAAAAGAGAAAAAAATTTGAAAAAATCCAAGTCACTACTTTTTGACGTGACATAATAAATGTATTTAAAAAATAGAATTATTCCCTAATTATATTCTTTCTTCTATGGATTCGCTCTGTATTCTTTACGCCACTCAGAAATTTATTTTAAAAAATTAAATTAAATTGCGTTCCGGAACTACAACTTGCTTCCAGATTAATTAAGGGAATCCGGCCGAAATATATACGATTCGATATGCCCTACTTTGTCTATTATTACCTTACAAAGCATAATATATGTACTCAAAAAAACAAAAAAAAAATAAAGAAAAAAAGAAAAAAAAGTACAATATATATATATATATATTAAACCAACTACGTATGTATTTTCTTTTTAAATTTTGTGATAAGCAATTTTGAATTTTGTATCAACTTCTTTAAAAATTCACGCATTTTTTTTCTTTTGAAACCAAAAATTCACCCACCTATAAGACATAAAATTTAATTTTATATTTAAAAGATCAATTAATTTTTAAAAGTATCGTTGGGGGCCATTTCTCACCAACATATATCTACATTTGATAGGTCCATAATGTCGAACCAACAAGAAGGAGTTTGAACCAATCCAAATGACTAGTTGAAAAGTCATTATTGGACGAGTCGTCCTATGTCTCCAATCTCGACCCCTTGAAATCTAGGCCGAGCCGAGGCCAACACTAATTAGAGGACGCTCTTTCATGAAATGATATCCGACACACTCTATGGCAATATATATGTCGTGATTCTCGAGCTGTCGTAGAATCGTTGGAAAGTTGTTGGATGCCTTATCGGAAGCTCCACCTATAAATAGAGACCTCCTAGCTCATTTTCAGGTACGCGAATTACATTCTTTCTCAAAATAGCTCGGCTAGCTAGGGCTGTTCACGAGTTAGGTTGAGTCGGGTTAGGGGGATTTTTTTGGACCAACCCAAATTTTTGGGTTGATCAGATCAGAGACCCGACGAAACCGAACATGATAGGCAACCCAACCCAACACAACCCAAAATTTTCGGGTTGGATCAGGTCGGGTTATCGGGTTGCTCCTAATTTCATCTTCTAGATCCAGAAACCAATAGAAAGAAATAGGAGAGAAAATCTAAGCCTAACTTAAGAATGAACAAACTGCCACTCTGATACCATCGTAAGAATGAACAAACTACCACTCAACCCAAAAGCTTAAGCTAATGGGTCGGGTAAATTTGATTCATTTATATGGTTTCTAATAGCATTGACATTGGTTGTTGGGTGGCATTGGTATTGGCATTGGCCTTGATTGTTGTTTGGCATTGGCGTTGATATCAACATTGGTTGTTGGTTGGCACTGGCGTTGATATCAACATTGGTTGTTGGTTGGCATTGGCGTGGTTGTTCGTTGGCATGTGCATTCTTAGCTTGAACCTTGTTTGTTTAGCTTCATTTAGTTTAGTTTTAGTTTTAAGTTTTTAACATTAGAGTTGTTTTTCTATTTTGATTGACACATTAGTTTTGGCTTATTTAGCTAATTCATAATTTAGGGAGGATGTTAGATAATATTATTTGAATTAGATTTAGTTTAGATTATATTATTTTTGAATTAGATTTGTTATG